AATTTTTGAATTATATATTATATTTTTAAAAATAATTTATTTAGATTGAAATATTTTTCTTGTTTTTGCCTATTCTTATTACTCTTTTTTTAATATCATTTTTTTCATCTTTGTTATTACTTTAAGCTAGCTTGATCAAGTTTATTAGTGAAGTTTTACTATATAAGTATATTAACCAAAAGAAACCAATAATAAGTTAGTAAACTAATGATAGATTAAGAAACTACTTTATGGTTGAGCCATCTTTGGACAAAGATCTAATAAAAGGACCATTAGGGTAATAAAAAATTTTAAGGAAGAATTGATATTTATATCAAATTTAATTTATCTATCTTAATCCAATTGTGAGTGTGTATTCATATTTTAATCTTTTTGAAAAATTGTCTATTACTAGGAGAATAATTGAAAACAATAGTTATACAAAAGTTAATAAAGAAGAAGATTTTACTTATATTTTAAAAGAACTTGACAAGAGAGAAAAAATGGTAGTTCACTATAGAGTTGATATTTGAGACCATGCTATTACTACCACTTCTATACCATCAGTTGGATACTTTTCGAGAACTTCATCAGTTGAGAGTATATTGTTTGTTCCTCTGTTACTTTTAGAATTTTCATATTATAGTTCTTGTATTTTTCAGTTTTGGTTTTATATCTTGTCATATCCTATTTACATTGAATCTTTTTTAGATATTTCTTCAAGTAATTAAATAAGTCAAAGGGATTTTTGAGAGTATTTAAAACTAAGAGAGAAGAGAGTTAAGAAGGAAAAGACTATAGAGAAGATGGTGTAAGGAATAGGACCTTTGTTATCCAATAAATCTGTTCTTATATACCTATTGCGATAGCCTATTCAAAAAAGAAATCTTTGTCTTTCTGATATGCACCTTTATTAATCTTGATAAATGCTATATATACTATAGTTATGCTTTATTAAAATCTTTTTTAATTATAATTTAAAAAAAATATTAATTTTAAATAGATTACAAAAATTTTATAACAAAATATTATTATAATTATTTTTATTATTAAATTTATAAAATAAAAACAAATAAATATATAAATAAAAATTTTAATTATATAATTTATTTAAGTTTAATAAACAAAAAATATCAATTTAATACTAAATTACTATTTTTGAACTTTTTAAAATTTTAATAAATTATTAAATATCTTTTTTCATATATCAAAAAAAAAAATTTTTTAATTTTAATTAATTATTTTTAAAAAATTTTACTATAGTAAAAATCTATTTTCTAACTACTTTTTTATATAAATTTATAAATAAAAATTTATAAAAAATTTTATTTGATTATTTTTTTAACTTCAAATCAAATTTTTAAAAGAAAATTATCACTTAATTATTATTAAAACTCAAATATTTTTTAAATTAGATTATAAATTATATATATAGTATTTAAAATTTTATTTTAATTAAATAATAATTTATTAACTGCAGTAGTGATCTGCAGGCAATAAAATTAGTAGTTGGAAGGGTTTTCACCTAAGTTACTAATGGAGCGATAAATCACTCTTGAAGTTACACTTAGAGTGGTAATAATCAAGACGAGTGAGTTAATTAAAGATTTAGCTTTAGCAATTCATTTTATATATAGTATAATAATGTTTAATAAAACACACATAATTAGCCTGACAGAGGGTAAAAAAAAAAAAAAAAATTAAATAATTATTTATAAAAAACAAAATAGCAAAAAGTTTTGTTCCAAACTATATTTTATCAATATTATTAATAATAAAGAAAATTTTATAAAAAAGTTTTTTTTTATTAATCAAGTTTTCAAGAAAACAATTATTATTATATATATAATATAATTATTTATCTTAATATATATAATAATTTTTTATTATTAATTAATTATTATTAAAAATACAATAATTCTACTATAATTTTATTTTTTGAAGTTTTTAAAGTTTAATTTTATTATAGGTATAATTATAATATTAAAAAATATAATATGTTATTTTTATTTTTATTAAATTTCTCAAATAATAAAAAGACTTTATTAAACAATAATAAAATCTTTTCAACTTTAATTTTAATTAGATAAAATTAAAACATTTATAATATTGCTATTTTGATTAGATTATAGATTCAAATTTTATCAATTAAAAATATAAAATAAGATTTTTATATTAAAAACTTTAGATAATAAGTTCAATTTTTTAAATTGTATAGTATATAGTTTTAATGATTAATAAATAAGATTTTTAAATAGTCAAAAACAAGAAAAATATTTCAATCTAAATAAATTATTTTTAAAAACATAATATATAATTCAAAAATTTGGTATTTTTTAGAATAATTAATAATGATAAACTATTGTTGACAATAATTCCAATATATAAAAATCATTAGTACTAATCTATCAAAAAAATAAAATAAATCCAATTAGAGTACCTGGTTTAACTTTTGTTTTGTTTAATTTAAACTAATTTAATGAATTTCTTATATTATTTAAGTAGTATAGTTTTTCAACTAATAATTAATTAATTATTATTATGTGAATAATCTGTATGAAATTGTGAATGCTCATTTAATGTTTCAATAAAATACCATAATGACATGATTGTAAACTAAAAAAAACATTGTTTTAAAAGAATAATTGATAATTTCAACAAAATAATTTCACTTTTAATGTATTTAATACTTACTTAAAAAAAATACCATTTTTTTTCTATTGATCTGGAATACAATTCTATAATTAAATAATATTTATATTGTATAATTTGTATCAGAAAATCGAGAATCCCTTGGTAGGCAATGGCCTGATAATTTTCATTTTACGCCACGAAAATATCTTTTCACGCAATTATTCTTGTGCCCATGTAAAAAAAAAAATAATTATATGTTAAGCTAGATTATCATCTTTCGACTAGAGAAAGACTACAAATTAAGCTAGATTAACACAAATACGGCAGGATGACATATTCAAACAATTTACTTAATTTGTAATTTGATAAACGGTTCGCATTTATTTATTGAATATATTGTCAAACGTTTAAAACATGTTAAATACGATCAAAGGGTTCGTAAGTGTTTATAGGGCGTGCGTAATCGCGTTCCTCAATCTCAATTTACCCCAAGAATTTTGGCGCTACAGAAAAAAACGCGTTGGTTTGAGGTACAAATGATTTTTTTATTCTAGTTACATAAAGGATTGAATTTGATGCTCCAGTCTAAACAATAACCCTTGTTCAAAATTATGCTAATTGTGAAAATTAAAAACCTCTATACACATGTATTAAAAACATCTTTCGATATAATCTTCAATTAAATTTATACTTTTTTTTTTTTTTTTTTTTTTTTTACAATGCTATGTCACCATCGCGTTCCTACAAATATTGGAGATTTTCGACCTGAATGTGATAATCGAATAATTAAATATGTAAACTTCTATAAAAGAAAAAAGATTTTAAAGTAAAAACAAATGTTCGGGTTTCGTGGAAATTAAATCTTGTTCAATTGAGTTTGGATAGTTCGGATTTCCTAAAATATTGGACATTACAGTCGTCATCAGACATCACGAGGCGAAGAAATAGGTATAAATGGGTAAATCGTGAAATCTCACCTTGGGCGACCAGGTCGACGTCCACTTGGTGTTCCAATTCTAGCTGAGGACAGGTGGCTTCCATGATTCACCGGATCCTTATCGATCAAATGTATGGGAGGTTTGATTATAAAACCGTTATTATGTATATTTTTCTGACCGAGAACATCATTTTCGCTAAAGGTGACACACGTCAATAAGTCAATCAAGATTAAATCTTATTGGTCGACAAAAATTTCCAAATCCAGGACAGGTGATTGAAGGATGAAAGGACTTACGCTTCGGCATCCAGTTCGGTATATCCTGCAAAGTATTTTTTTGAATTTTTATTGACATGGTACATGCGCGTCGTGGGATCATAATACGGACCACGTTGTTTCCTTGCCCATATTAACAAACCGTTCCTGATGTGGTGACAGCAAAAAAAACCGAAAAAGAAAAAAATTTTTTTTTAAAAAAAAAAAAAAAAAAAAATTTTTCAAAAATATTCTGCATAAATGAACCCGATAGCTGAGAATAATTTTGATTTTATCGATGTGCACTGGAAAACCAGACCTACCAGTCTTATTATTTGCCAAATGAGTACAAACCAAAATAAGGGTTAGAGAAGTTGAGTCAGGAGGACAGTGTTTAATATATTTTTATTGTGAAAAAAAAAAAAAAAAAAAAAAATACATATATGTATATGTATTCCGAAAAATAAAATAAAATAAAATAAATACCAGCAGTTGCTTGAATTGCTGCTTTTCTTTTGAGGTCTTTCTTGGTTTCTAGTGGTTTTTTTTTTTGACAGGTCAGAGCACAAGAGATGAAGCCACTTGCCAAATACCAAAGAGATATTTTCACAGCCTTAAAATCTCGTGAGAAAAATCAAAACATTACCTTGCGTCAAATTTTTCGCAAACTGAACACTTGAGTTTGCTGCGCTACTCCTCGTCGTATTTTGCCTGGACACCTCATTCGTTATGGTATTGGTTGTCATATTGGCGCGTTTTCGAAAAAAAGACAATTATATTAAGTTTTTCTTTTAACGCCGGTTTCTGGTTTGTTTACTGTCTGAGTAAGTCGACAATCCTTATAATGAACATGATACACGTATGCAGATTCTCTAACCGTTTAAGGCATAGTTGCGTCACATTATGCATAATCATTACACTGCCATAGAAGTTCATACAACATTTTTTTTCTTCTAGATCAAGAAAAAAAAAAAAAAAATCTCTCGTGGCATTCTTAATACATAATAAGACGGCGAAGTTTCTTTCGTTCTAAAGTAAAGTAGCACCAAGTTTCCAATTATAGAGGCAAAAAATGTCTTTCTCAAAAGTTACTAATCCCGTTCTTTCAGAACATGAAATACCTGACGATAAAGTCGAAGAAAAGTCAAAGTCAGAAAGCAATAGTGAAAAGTTAACAAAGGAAAGTGCGATCATTGAACCAGAACCGGAGGACAGTAACAGAGATCCTGCAAGCGAGCCTTCTGAGACCAGTAACTTAACTTGGCAAGCTGTATGGAGCAATGAGGCTCAAACGTATTATTATTGGAACACTGTTACTAACGAAACAAAATGGGAGATTCCCCAGGAAATGTACACCGCGGGATCGCTGTATGACGGATCTACAAATAATTCAATAGCGTCGACGGATCAAGCAGTAAATGCCACTACCGCGACCGCTGATGGTGCCGAGTACACACAACAGGAGTATTATCAATATTATTACGCGCAATACGGATATTACCCGGAAGGATATTATTATGGATATGACCCAGCCACCTACACTTCCACCACCCAAACTCCCGCGGAACCACCAAACCCTTTAGAATCTATTCTAGATAGAATAGATACGGAAGTTAAGTCGAAACTCGATGGTGAGCCTTCCACCTCTTCTCAACAAAATGCCTCATCAACCCAACAAGAATCTTCGACAACCGTTACAAGCACTTATGATCAGGATACAAAGGTGGAAGATTCCGAATATTATTCCTTTCTCGCTCAGCATGGCGATGGTGGCGAAGAATACAAGGTCACCGCCAGATTCAACGCACGAACCGGCAAGTTTCAACGTGACCCAACATTGACTCCAGAAAAATTTTCAGCTGATTCCAAGGCGATTCGACAAATGTCGTATTTCTTTGATTATGATAAATTCGCAGAGCAAAGGTCGAAGAAGACCAAATTAGATGATTCCTCGGAGGTGAAGGAAAATAAGAGATTGAACAAAAAGGACATAGAATTCTTCAAGCAAAAAAAGAAGGAGAAAAAAGAAATGAAGAAAAAAGCATGGTTGATGGGAGGCGAATAGAAAATACTTTGGGGTAGACTTTTAGCCGAAGTTCACGATTTTACTCTTTTGTTTTCTTTCCATTTTATTATTAACGCAGTGAAAGTTGGCATTATATTAAAAACTGCGCGCGAGCTTATTGGTTATATTTGTGGTTTCTTTTTTTTTTTTTTTTTTTTTTCCCTTTTTTTTTTTCAATCCATCCTTTTTTTTTTTTTTTTGCAAAGTTATTTCACAAGAATTAACTTGGTAAAATAAACTTATGTCTGCAGTATAATAAATGGGAATTCATTTTATTGAAATAAAATTCCAATCATTATTAAAGCCTACGATTACGAATCTGTTGTTTCGTTGTCGACAAACAATTCCCAAAATCCTTCTGAACTCACATAATCGTGATACACCAGATTAACCAACCACCAATTATCCCCGATGTCCTTTAGTAATTTTTGTGAAGGCGAACCTTTGGGGTATAGATGTTCCCAATCTGCCCACAACGCAAAAGCCTCGGTCTGTTCAATGAAAAATAAAAAGATATAATTGAACTGTAAAAAAGAATGTTATTGCTATTATCGTTCAAGGATCAATCGACGAGATTCGCACCTTCCAAGCGTCGAATGATGCTTTCTCGATTATCGTCGGTTGAATGATTTCTTTGCCTGGAAAAACACCCCAGGTCACTGCAGACGGTGTTTCCTCTTTAACATTAGTAGAAAATTCATCCTACGCAACATCAGAGGGTGACAGTCAACGTGCTATTCGTGTTCATTATTGGGATGTTCGTTTTTGTGCTTACATTGTTTCTCCTTGCCGCATAGTAAGTAACCCAGCAATTCTTGTCGATTCTCCGGGACAATTTCTCAAATCCCTCTGGGCTCACGAAGAATTCTACCAAGGGTTTCTGATACACAAAACCACCTTTGGGACCCCAGCCAAAATCAGGGTCGGTGCTTTTCGCTCCATTGACGGCCGGTTGCGAGCTCACGGTCAGGTAACCGAGCTCATTTATTTTGATGAGCTTTGATCGAATTATATCGGTCTCCTTCAGCAACGGCTCTTCGGACCACGGTAACACGGGGATTTCACAAAGAATGTAGGATTTGAAAATTTGAATCACATCAGTCAAGCTCTTTGGCTCTTTCCAATATTCGAGAGCCAGATCCGGCTTATTTGTAAAAGGGGGAAAAAGTGGGGTTGTGAATTATTATTGTTCATCCTTTTGTTTTACCCTTTTTAAAAGAAAAATAAAGCTCTAATGCGTACCGGAATTTTCAAGGATCCTCCATGACTGTCTATGTCGCCGAATGCTGGGTAGGTGAAGAAGTTGGAGTTGAATAAGAGATCAGCATGAAAAAAATCAAGGTGAGAGAAAGAAGAGCATCAATGTTTACCGGGTGACCTGGAATCACCCCAACGTCCGTTAGGAAAGTTGTCCCAGTCTTCCGATCTTCCTAGATAATCTGCGCCCTGATCTTTCCATATGACAGGTTTTGCTGCAGGAAGTGATCCATCTGGTTCCTAATGGATTAAGTAGCATCACCTCATTAAGATGCAAATCAATCACACACACGAAAAAAAAAACAAGGATCAAATACCAACCTGCCTGATAATGTCGTTAGCAACGGATCTACGCATGCCCACTGGTCTCGGATCTCTCTCCTCTTCGGTCCTCACGAATTTCAACTTATCCAATATTAGTCGAACCGATTTCTCTAGATTCAATGTACACAGGTGGAACCCTATTACGTTATGATCTTTTTGAAGTTTAGATATGATAGAGGTAGCGAGCGAGACGCCGTATTCCTTGACAGCTTGATCGTCATGCTACCGAACGAAAAGGTGACATCAGCGGCACAAACAGATTTGCGCTTCTCGTTCGTTTGAGAGGATGCACGAGTCAATTTTACCTTGATGGGCTCCAAACTATTTATCACATCAGCGGGTATGCTTATCTTGCAAAGATTTGTGATTCTACGGAAACTATTATAACCCTGGATTGGCATGATGCCCGGAAGGATAGGCACGGTTATGCCTTGGCATGTTCAAAGATTCTGTCGTGAGACTTATCATTTTCTTGCTAATCGCAAAAAAAAAAAAAAAAAAAATCTTTTTTTCTTAATTACCAATTTCACGACATTCCTTCTCCCATTCTACGAACGAGTCGACGTCATAGAATAATTGCGAAATGATGAAATTCGCTCCCGCGTCCACTTTTTCCTTGAGATATTTTAAATTTAGTTCCCGGTCACTGCAATCAGGGTGTCCCTCGGGATAACCTGCAAGGGAGAGCCGGGATAACGTGATTAATTGCATTTGGATTGCGAAAAAAAGATAAAGAGCTTTCAAGATCCTACCCGCAACGCCAATGCAAAACCACTCCCCAAACTTTTTTCGAATGTGTTTTATCAAATCGATCGCGTACATAAATTGATTATCGGAAGGTGTCCAGTATTCCTGGCCGCGTGGTAAATCTATCACCGCCGAGCAAAGACGCGTCGGCATTCAAAAGAAAAGTCGACGAATTTGAGATCAAGAGGAAATCGAACCTACCACCGCGCAACGCCAGTATGTTTTGTATACCAGCATCCTTGGCTTCCTGTGCACGATTTGGCAAACACCGAGGAAAAATGTGCGATCAGCTCATGCAAGGTAGATAGATGGATGGATCCAACACATCGACATCACGTGCCTACAATGGTGACAAATCCATCGCTCAGTTTCAGAAGAGAGACTCACCGTCAACGCATTTTCTAATAGCTCACTGGCGATGTTCGTGCAAGTTAGGTGCATGCAGGTTTCAAGCCCGTAAAGCCCGTGAGCAGTGACGCACATTTCCAATGTCTTATCCACCGTGCTACCACCCGTACCCCACGTAAAGGAAATGAAGAGGGGGTCCAAGAGAGACATGCGCTTGAGTCTGTCATAGAGGTTCGATAGACCCTTTAACGTGGAACAAATGCTGCCTTTGGTTATCGACAAGGAAAAGGCTTGCCACGAAGAATGCGAGACTCACCTCGTCGGTCTTTGGCGGAAAGTATTCGAAGGAGTAAAAAGGCTTGTTCGGTTCAAGTGCGTTTATTTTATCTGTTATCTTCATTTTTTTTTTTTTTTCCTCCAATCGACCGAATATAATAAATAAATTCTGTGCGTGTGTGCGCAATGGTTTTTTTTTTCGAAATTTGACAAAGACAAGTGTGTGCAATCATCTTTATCACATGATCAAGAGCATGATCACGGGGTGTTCTTCATTCATTGTGATGTATTATATATAAATTTATTAATAATCGAGACAAAAAAAAAAAAAAAAAAAAATCATAATTTTTTGTTGTAATGATGACTGCTTTATGATATATGTAATTATACTGTACAAGTCTTTTTTATGTAGTCGGGAAGGGTTTTAAAAAAAAAAAAGGTTGATTCTTTTGTACACGAAAAAGATAGCACGATAGCGAATTGAATTTTTTTTTTTCTTGTTATAAATTATTGTTATCGTGAAGCATTCCTTAGGAAGCCCAGGTTTATTTTGCTATTATTGTAGTGGGAGGGAGGTTTATGCGCTTGTTTATATATATATTTGTGAAAGATTAATAAAAAATTAAACAGACTTCTTTTGAATGACTGTCGTTCCTATATACTGTAGTCGTGATTTTTTTTTGACTTTTTTTTTGTTGAAAAAAAGGGTAAAAAGAAAAAGAAATATATGTATAAGCGAAAAGTATCATACAAGTATTCACAAATAAAAGGGATTTTAAGCATACTTTTTTGAATCGATCAAATTATAATTGCTTAATAATGAAATTCAAGGATTTTTTCGACCGTCAAGATGCATGACAAAAATAACGAAAAGAAAAAGAAAGAGATTGATTCAAATCTTTCAGTCACAAAATGAACAATCGATCTTCATAAAAAAAACAATGTTTAAGCGACGCCGGTTCGAATCGACGCAACCGATGGATCTTTTCCACCGCGCGATTTCGGTCAGCGGAAAGTTTTTTTCATAATGACACTCTGGTGATTCTTTCTTTCAATCACCATCTTGTTTCATTTTTTTTTTTTTTTTTGTTTGTTTTTTGCTTTTTTTTGGTTGCTTTTTTTGGTTGCTTTTTTTTTTTTTTTTTTTTTTTTTTTTTTTTTTTTTTTTCTTTGGAATGAACACTCAATCCCATTCCCTAGCCGCCCCCCCCCCCCCCCAACCCCCCCTCGAAGGGATAA